CTAAACTGGAGGAAGCACTGACACACAGCCCCACCCCCACCCCCACCCCCACCCCCCAGTATAAGGTGCACAGAAGAAAGCCAGGCCACAGGGCAAACGTGTCCCCTGGCTGGTGACTGTATGCCCACAGGCAGGTCAACAACCCAAGACAGAGGACAACCAGAAAGCTTGGTCCTGAGCACACAGACCCGGGCCTCAGTTTTCTAATCTGTAAAATGGAGCCACTGCCCCCGCCCACACAAGGCTGTCCCAAAGACTCACAAACGCCAGACCTTTCCCTTCCCGCTGGCGAGCCTGAGCACTCCTGGATTCTGCAGAAGGCCCCCCACCAGGGAGCGCCAGCAGCCGCCCCCCTCACAGCACTACTCGGGGAACACCCTGCGCTCCAGGACACAGCCTCAGCACCCCCACTCTGGAGCCGGGTGATGGAGCTGCAGAAAGTGCTGTGTGGTCGGAGGTTCAGACTGAGCAGGGGTCACTGGGCTCTGCTCTTGGTCACCCCAGCCACAGCCAGGCCTCCCTGCAGCTCCGACCCACCTCTCGGGCAGCGCCCCTCCGTCCTCCCGGTCCCTGCTCCCGACACCCTAACTCTGCACCCCCTGCAGAGCCTCCCCAGATGCCACTGAGTGCCCACACACAGCACCCAGACCACAGCCTTTAGTTCAAGGAGCTGAAAACACCTACCACTCACAGAGCATGTCCGTGCTCGGCAGGGTCGCTCATCACCATATTTAAAGGCCCGGTAGTCCCAAGGGGTGGCCGGCACTGTCCCCTTTCTGAGGTCAGCAAGGCACCGAAGCCCCCTGCAGTACTTCCTCTGCTGCATCTGACGCCTTCCCTACAAGACGTCCCGCCCCATTGCTCTCTCAGGAGCGCCGGTCATCACGCACATGACCGCCACCCCCGTCACAGGCGGGCAGTGCAGCTCGCCCAGCAGAGCTGAGCTACTCTCACAAACATTCCAAGACGAAGTGCTTTTAAAAACTCCTTGGCAGACCCACCTACAAGGAGTTACTTGAGTGCAGAAATATTCTGTTCTTTCTACCAGTGGGAAGACGTCATCCCTGGGTGTCACCACCACGGGCACGACAGCAGAGGGCAATGGTTAGAGCCCGGCTGACGATCAGCTAACCACCGGGGAAGGCGGCCTCTCAACTGAGGCCACGGCCACTCACCGCAAAGCCCAGGACTGCTGCCTTCTCTGTCTTTCTGAGCAGGTGCGGGGCAGGCAGGGCTCAGTGTGTCCAGGGGACAGCCCTGCGGGGCCGATGCCACCTGATTGCTCCTGCCACGCAGTCTGCACAAACTGAGCCCAGAGAAGCTGGGCTCAGTGCCCGCCAGCGGCCATGGTAGGTGTCAGCCCTCGCTGTCGGCAGGACGCTGCCCCACACTCAAGCGTGACCACAGCTGGAGGAACCCTGGCTCAGTGGCCGTACTCTGACACGAGGCTGGTGACACCAGGCCAAGGCCCAGGACAAAGGGCACAGAGGCCACCTCCTGGTGGCGGCTACCAGCCAACAGCACCTTGACGCGTAGGAGGTCACCATTAACAGCAACAGGCTTCACCGTCTTCCCCATTTCTAAGTGCACTACACATTCACACTCCACACCTGCCCGTGCAAAGCTGAACCCGAGCCCACCAAACAGCCCCTGCGCGCCCTGCTCCCAGCCCCCGGAACCGCCCCGAGTCGGCCTGCTCTGATCCCACACAGGACCCAGCATCACGGAGGGTTTGTCCTCTGGTGATGAGCTCACTGCGCTGTGCACCCACCCTGCAGTATGCGTCAGAATGCCCTCCCTCTTCAGCCTCCGTCTGCACGCCCTGTTCACCCTTTCACCTACTGCGGACACGGGGCCCCGGGGAGCAGCACTGCTGCCGCCCAGCGGTCAAGCCTGTTCAAGCTCTTCTCTTGGGGCTGGCGCTGTGGCGCGTGGGTTAGGGCCCCTGCCTGCAGTGACACCATCCCTTGTAGGCACTGCTCCACTTCCGATCAGGCTCTCTGCTGTGACCTGGAGAGCAGTGGAGGACGGCCCAAGTCCTGGGGCCCCAGCACCTGCTTGGGGGACCCAGCGGGAGGCTCCTGGCTCTGGATCAGCTCTGGTCATCTGGGGAGTGAACCAGCAGACGGAGGACCTCTCTCTCTGGCTCTGTCTTTCAAATAAGTAAAATAAAAAAAATTTTTTTAAGGAAAAAAACCAGACTCTCTCACTTCTGCTGGGTGCACTCCCTCAAGTGGAACTCCCGGATCCTAAGTTATTTTCATTCTTGATTTTCTGAGAACAAAGATGTCCCTGCTGAGCCAGTGTCCCCAGGGGGGTACGCTCCTGACAGGGGCAGAGATCTTCCCTAGGGCTCGGCCTGCAGACAGGAGCAGCTGCCCCGCGTGACGTGGGTGAACCACACACTGCGCCTGCCTCACTCAGAGGATGAAATCCACCCAGTTAATATCCTTAGTACTGAGGTAGCGCACTAAAGTGCTGAGCTCCAAAGTGCTGGGGGGAGATTTTTCACAACTGTGAAGTTGACAAACACACGCATTTATTTTACTTTCATAAAAGTGATGTCTACAGTGACAAAGTCCTGAGGAGCAGCTATAATCTCGTCAGCACTGGGTCAGCTACGGGAACGTAGAGGCGTTCTGTGTGGATTCAGTGTTTCTTTAGAACAGAGCTTCAGTTTAAAAATAAATGACAGCAGAGCCCTAAACAAAACCCACCTCCCAAAGCCGAGCAGAAGCAAGCAGTGAGCTGTGTCGCAGGGTCTTCTGCCATTTCAGGGAGAGACCAACAACACCGTCTCTTAATAAAACTGCCAGGCAAAGGAGGAGAATGGCGAACCCCATGCACAGAGAGGGTGCGCGTTCAGGGAGGTGCTGCTTCCTGCCGCGGGTCTGCCACGCCCACGCACAAGGACAGGTTTCACCTGTGAGGTGTGACGGGCATCAGGCACCACTAAACGGCTCGGAGGAGGGGCCTCTGACAAGCAACCTGCCCGTCACACGGCCGGACCTCGGGAATCACCTACCCCAGTGTGGCTCAGAGTTGGACTGAAGGGAAGCTATTTTCAGTCACGATGACTACTATAGGATTGTAACTCGAAGCCCCATCTCACAGAGACAATCCAAATACAATATGCAATAAAACTGTGGGAAACCCCGCCGAGAACTTGTCCTGTGGCAGCAAACACAGGTGCGTGTCTCACTGTGCGGCAGTGGGCACCCGCGGGGCACCCTCTGAGACGGGACAGGGTGGGAGTGGCCAGAGAAGCAAGGGCTGAACTCCAGCTTCCCTCAGGGACGGGGAGGGCTCTATGAGGTCCCAGCTGTTCTGAGGCAGGGTTAAAATATGGATAATCTTGAGATTTTGCTAGGTTAAATACGTGTGCTGTAAACACACACAGAACTAGGAGACAAGATCTAAAATTCAAACTGATGAGGGGACATGGAAACAAGAAAAATGAACCAAGAATCCAAAGCAAGTAAAAAAGAAAAAAATAATTAAACAAGGAAGAAAAACAGCAGCAAAGTAGGTAGAAAAAATTCAAAGTATCTCGCCAATTACGATACATGTAAGCGGACTATATATTCCATTTTAGGTGACCAAGACCATCAGATGAATTTTAGCAACAAGCTATTTCCAAGAGATATAACTAGTTTCCGTTAAAAAAAAAAAAAACTTTATCTTAATGATTTTCACCTTAAAGAAAGCCCCTTCGTAATAATAAAAGGTTCAAATTAGAAGTTATACCAACTGTGATTTTGTACCCCTTACACAAGCTACCAAAACACTCAGAATCACAAGGAAAAATCCCTAATTGCAGCGGGAGACCGATGTTCCTCAGTAACTCAAAGAAAACGGATTCAGCCCTCCGTGCTCTGCCCCTCCCTCCCCTCAACGGAGCAGGACGCAGACTTGACCAAGTTCACAACCTGACCTGGAAGCTGCTTTAGGGCACCCCATGGAATGACACCAGGATACACGTGTTCTGCCAGCACCCGTGGACGCAGAAGCCACCGAGCGCAGCCCACAGGAGGACAAACGCAGCCCGGGACAGAGCTGCAGCAGCCGCGGCCACCTGCAAGGCGAGTGAGGGCGCCTCGGCCACTCTGGGCCGCGGGGACCAAGGCTCATGGGGCATCAGACGCTGCGAGCTCATGTGTGAAGTTAGTGTTAATTAATCTTTCTCTACAGTTAACCACCTCTGCCAGAGAGAGAAATATTCACATCACATTTGGGAAATAAAGCAAAAATTCACAATGTTTGCTGCGCTTTCTATCTTATTAGCAGCAGACAGGGTGTGAAGGGACGAGGGATGCAGCCGGGCACCCCCACTTTTCTGTGGAAGGAAATCCTCATGTTCTGAAATGCGAAGAAATCAATTAACCTCGATTAACATCTTACTGCTCCTTGTGGAAAAGAACTGTGTGCTACAAATGGGCTTTAAAAAGACGACAGGGGGAGACGATAGTTACAGGAACACTTCAGTAGAAATTACTAGAATCAGTCACAAAACTGCACAGAGAACCCCTTTCCAGCCGTCTAAGTCTCCATAAGCAAGATCATCACTGGGAAGAAACAAGGCCACTTGTTTTAAGGTGATAAAGTGAACTAACTCTAACAATACCAATGCTACGCACAGATCGCGGGTGCCTGGGTGAGACCTGTGGGGCTCCCTCCCAGACTGTGGCGCTCAGGAGGGGCGCCTGCCCCAGCTCAGGCTCTGCCGTGTACCTGGTCCACGGCATTTTCTTCGTCTCCCTGGGTCTGCATGAGTGTGAGCACACACACAGCCTAGTCCCTGACTCGGGGCTTCTCAGAATTAAACGTGGCACCGCAGAACCACGGCTCAGCACACAGACTGGAGTGTAATAAAACGCTATCTAAGCGTCGGTTCACCGCCGAGTTCTTCACCAGGCACAGACAGGAAAGCAGTCCCTCCCCCACCCTGCCTCGTGGCAACTTTTCCACCACCGCAACCCGCATTTCTGCCAGGAACTTACCAAGTCACAGAACTCAAACACCAGAAGATAGGGAATGGCTTCCACACACTGTCCAACACACTGAAGAACATTGGGATGCTGGAGAACGCTGGTGAAGAGAAAAGTCACAGCACTGTTAGTCAGCAACCACGCCAGGAAACCCTCCACACGCGCTAACATGCACAGCAGTCCACGCAGGACAAATCACAGATCACATGAAGAGTACACTTAACAGGTGCATACTAGGCTATCTGATGACTACGTAACTCAGGGCCAACCAGGTAAATAGCTTCACAAGTTAAAAAAGAACTCCAAACATGAGAATCTTGACCTGTAGTAAGTCAGATTCACAGAGAGGATCTCGAGACACTACGTAACAGACGGCTGACTGGACACACAGTCGGTGAGCACTGCTTCCCCACAGGCTAGCTGGCTTACACTATGTGCAAACTCTTTTTGGAAAACATTTTGCCCAAAAGAAAATGAAGTTAAATAAAAGATGTGCCCCAAACAGCTTTTACTCTTTCTTTAAATAAAGTTTCATTTTGAAACAATCATGAAAGACAAAACTGAAAGCCTGGAGTGTCCCTCACCCAGGGTCCTGCCCTGGTCGCCTCTGCCACAGTCACACCAGGGCGTGGTCCTGCCATGGAGGGCACGTGGGGTCTGGTGTCATATCCTGATTTCATAGATTCTTTGGAATTTTCTACATAAAACACCATGTCAATCTGCAAATCAAGACTTGTTTTCCCTTGGTGAAAGCACTCCGTCACCAAGTCACAGTGGCATGCCGGTTTTCTGTGTGTCGACATCAAGTTGAGGAAGTGTGGCCATGTGTCTGCTCTTTCCGCTGTTCCTCCTTTTTTCTTCAGAAAACTTCGGCATTCTTTTAGGATGGATTTGCTGTGATAATTCTCAAGTTCTCCTTCATCTAAGGATGCTTGGACATCCCCTTCATCCTTGCAGGATATTTTACCCGAGAAAAGTTCTCTTCTTTAGCATCTTACCCTGCCCCGCCCTTCTGGCCTCCAGGGTCCCCAGGAAGGAATCCGCTGTCATTCAAACTGCATTCCCCTACAGCTAAGGGACTCTCTCGCTGCTCCAAGATTTCCCTGCTTGTCTTTAGTTCTCAGAAGTTGGTTTATCCTGCGTGGGTTTGCTCGGTTTCTCCACCGAGTGTGTAGGCTCTGTCTCTCCACCTCTGGGAGATTCCCAGCCACTCCCCTGAGCGCTCCTCTCTGTCTGCCCGCACTCTAGGACACTGGGGCCACGGACGTCAGCTCGCTTCTGGGAGCTCCCCGAGCCCATCTTCCCCCTGCTGCTCAAGCTGCACAGTATCTACTGTTCTGTCTTTAACTTCACGGCCCTTCCTTGGTCCTTTCCATTCTGCTGTGGGACCCACTGACTGAGGTTTCTATCTCAGTTACTAGATTTCCGGTTCTAAAACTTGCACTTACATGTTCTTCAGGTCTCCTACTTCTTCAGAGACTTCGTATGTTTTTCATCTGCAAGCGTGCTGCTCACTGAGCTGCTTTCAGGCTGGTGATTTTAAAGTCCTGGCCAGAGAATCCCAACCCCGCTGTCACCTCGGTGCTGGTGATGCTGCCCCTCTCATCAAGACGTGTTCTCCTGGTTCTTGGAGCAGTGGTGGTCAGTGGAAATCTGGATCCTGTGAGTCTTAGGAGGTTGCGGTTCTGACTTACTCACCCGCGTCACAGGAATAGATCCCAGGTGGTTTAAACACCTGCTGTCCAGACCCGGGCTGTGCTCAGAGAACACACGTCAAGGGGTACTTACTAGTAGGGCTCTCCGCTTTTCAGGAAAGTATCTTGTTCCTTTGCGCTTGCGCTGGCTTTTAACTCCTTCACTATCACTCTCGCTACACTGGTGCCCGTGTAGATCTCTCCCAGGAGCACCTAAAACCAAAGACAAGTTTTTCATGTCATCCATCAACAGCAGTAAAGAAGTCTTTCACTTGCCAAGCAACGCCACGAGGTCAACAAGGTACATAACAGGTCAGTGGCCTGCTAGTGCCTCACATATCAAACTCAAAAACAGGCTTGGAAAACGCCAACTTGTCCCTCAGTTAAAGAGCCCTTTTAAACCATTCGTTACATACTTAACAGCGTTCGTATATTTTAACATATTTCTTTTCCATTTATTCTAAAATATATTTCACTTTCATGGAAATTATCCATGACACCACAGAAGAGCGATTTGTTCAAGTTCGGCTCAAACGTAACTCAGATGTCCTCAGAAACACTCAAGCTAAGCTTTGTTACTGACAGAAGAAAGTGAACCGACAGTGTGCAAACAAATTTCCGCTGCACTGAGACTCTGAAAAAATCCATGGTATTCCACTGACACCAAGCCTTTTATCCTCCGTGAAAACTTCAGCCAAAACATCCCACTGGGATGAACAGACCACAAAATGAGAAATGAGCCGCCTCATGGCAATCAGCTATAAGGGAAATACTAAATCGCTTCGGATAATGCAAAAGCAGTTTCAAAATCCAACATTTAAGATGAAAACCAAGAAGTAAAGGTCCTTATTTCACTAGAGAATGATCAAAACTAAAAACCTTCCTTTTAAAGTTTCCTAAAACAGGCCCATTTTAGTGCCCTGGAAATACAGTAAGACCTTGCGGACTCCAGCTGTTTATCAGAAATGGAAGGGCAGAAAAGCAGAGAACGAGAAATGCGGTGATTAACTCAATCTTATTTTTTGTTTTAAATAACCAGCCTGTGGTGATAAACGCGGCAAGCACAGAACACCCACTTCAGCAAGCGGGAGAGGAACGGCCGGGCCCTGTCTCCACCACGGCCGTGAGGGCCTGGTGCTCGGCCCCTCAGCCTCTCAGTCCTTCTGCCTCCCTGCCAGGCACCTTCCCTGGGACCTCAGCAACCACTGCCCTGGGGCCAACCCTTGCCCATCATTCTCTGGGGCCCCAAACCCTGAATTCTGACTCATCTGCCGCCCTTTGTTTCCTCCAGTCAACCCCTCCAACATTCCAACCACTGGCGGTACCACTTTCCCGCCTACCTCACCCCACTACATGGGAATAAAAGTATATTTTGGTCCAAAAACAAAACAAACAAAAAAACTTTGAAATCCATGCATATGTGGAAACCTACAAAAAAAAATCCATGGGAAATATGTACTATGAAAATCTATGTGTGGATCTCAAAAAAAATTTTACACCAAAATAAATTTATATTAAATTTCATTTTTCCATGAACCTTTTAAAATACCCTTGGATTAGCTTAGCCAAACTTGAGGGCTGGCCAGCTTCAACCAGCAGTGCTAGCAGTGGGGAAGAGCCCAGACTCAGCATGGCGAATCCCTTGTCAGGCAGGCAGGGGCCTCAGCACTGCCCACCACGTCCCTGCTGCTGCACTCTCCCAGACCACTCATCCACCCCTTCTCCCGGGCAAACTCCCCACACGGCCTTCTAGCCTTCCCTTCAAGTGAGGAATCAGCCTCTCACTCACCGACAACTTCCTCTGACACCAGCGGAGGCACCTGCTTCTGCTCCCATTTGAAGACACGACACTGCCGCGGCCCCCAAGACCAACTCCTCCACCCTCGCCATCAACCCCATCCCCTTGCTCCTCTGGTTACCGCCCACACCCACGGGCAGGCCTCCTCCTCCATCACGTATGAAGCTGCAGACACCTGTGGGACCGCCCGGGCTCAGTTCTTAGCTCTGCTCCTGATTCCAGCTTCCTGCCAATGCGCGCCCCAAGAAGCAGCCGTTGGTGGCTCAAGTACTTGGGTCCCTGCCACCCATGTGAGAGACCAGACTGGGTTCCAGACTCCAGCCTGGTCAAGCCCTGGTTAATTCAGGCATGTGAGGAATGAACCAACAGATGGAAATGTCTCTCTCTCTCTCTCTCTCGAACCCATTTCACGTAGAGATGCCACTACCATCCCCTCCCCAGCCCAACAGCACACGAATCTCATGCTGCCCCCCTCCCCCAGCCTCTCCAGTCTGCCTCTGACCTGCTGAGCAGCAGCCTTTGCTACAGCTGACCTCCCTGACACCCCCCCACCCCCCCACCCCTGGCCACAGGGCTTCCAGCTCGATCCTCAGACCCCTCCCTGTCCTCCACCTTGACACTCTCCAAACTCGTAGTTTAAATGCCATCTGCTGGCTGGCGCTGTGGCTCACTAGGCTAATCCTCCACCTAGCAGCGCCGGCACACCGGGTTCTAGTCCTGGCGGGGCGCCGGATTCTGTCCCGGTTGCCCCTCTTCCAGGCCAGCTCTCTGCTGTGGCCAGGGAGTGCAGTGGAGGATGGCCCAAGTGCTTGGGCCCTGCACCCCATGGGAGACCAGGAGAAGCACCTGGCTCCTGCCTTTGGATCAACGCGGCGCGCCAGCCACGGCGGCCATTGGAGGGTGAACCAACGGCAAAAGGAAGACCTTTCTCTCTGTCTCTCTCTCTCACTATCCACTCTGCCTGTCAAAAAATAAAAAAAAAAAGGCCATCTGCACGCTCTCTGGCCTGGAATCCCTCTTGAATGCTTGGCTGGTATTTCCTGTTGCCTGCCTGACATCTAAGATGGCTAAGAGCCTTAGCTGTCTCACGCTCACGCAGCCAAATGGGACCGCCTGGCTTCCTCCTCCAAGCCTGCTTCCCTGCCGTCTCTCCCACACTTAGGCTGAAGGCGACTCCGCCCTTCCAGTTCATAAGACCGTAAATTGTCATTCGAGCCTCTTCCTCCAGACTCCACACCTGGTCCTATCCCACACCAGGCGTGCTCACACCGCCTCCTGGCAGGTGCACGCCTGCCCAGGCCCTGCCTGGGTGCTCGTGGCAGGCTTCTAACCCACCTCCTTGCTCTCACCTGGCCCTCCACAGCGAAACCACCACAGCAGTTCTCAGACTGCGTCACTTTTCTCAGCCTCCAGAGAGAGTATTTCTGCACTTCATCCCTGGTCCGAGTCTCGTCGTGCCCTGTGTCACCGGGCTCACTACACGCCTCTGATCCCGCTTCCCCAACACACCTCTTACGTCCAACTCTGATCACTGGCTGCTCCGCTTCCAGCACTGCACAAGGCCTGCGAACTCACCCAGCTTCCCGGCACCAAGAACAACACTGGGTGCTTAAAGAGGTTTTACTACATGGCTTAGAAGCCCTGCTAAGTAACAGAGCTTGGACGAACGAAAGAGGAAGAACTACCAGGCCAGCAAAAACGCAAAGACAAGCGGCGTGAGGCAGCTGGCCGCCCTGCAGGTTTAACTGCAACCGCCATGCTCACAGCACCTCCACCTCTCAGTTAGGGACCTCTCACAGGCGAGTGCTGCGGCTAGCCACTTCAGTTAGGGACCTCTCACAGGCGAGTGCTGTGGCTAGCCACTTCAGTTAGGGACCTCTCACAGGCAAGTGCCGCGGGCTAGCCACTTGCTAGTTCTTGCCTTCTGGACCACGCCAGGTGAAAAGACCGACCAAGCTCTGTTAACACTGGGCCGTGACGAAGAGGGCATCTGCTGTGGACTTCAGTACAGGAAGACTGCCTGCACCTATAGCTCTCGGCTGGTTTAGAAGCTTTGACAGGGAAGAGAGGGAAAGAGGGGGAAAAGAAGAAAATCATTTAGCGTGAGGAGGGTAAAGAGCACTCGAGTTCTAAACCTCTCTTCTCTTCTTGCTGTTCTTAGCCCAACAATGGGAAAATTTTCTGATAAAAACTTTTCTGAACGCACCTTGCCATGGTTTAAACATTCGTACCCCGCCCCAAACTCCTGCACCAGCATGATGGAAAGGGGGTGTGTCGCTGGGAGGGATGGGATTCCAGGCCGTCTGAAGAGGGAGCTGCTTGAGGCACCACCTATGCACCTGAGTGGGCCTTCACCCGCGTGACCCTGGCCTTCCACCTGGTCCATGGAATTCTGCCACTGCAGCCTCCATGGAGTAAGACCAGGCTCTCGGAACACTACACATCCAGGAACGAGGACCTCGCAGGCCCCTGTGGCTGCAGGGGAGTGGGGAGGCGCACTGCCCGGCACAGTGTCCACAGAGAATGCCCGACGTCACGTGCTACAGCTCTTACCCAGCCTTAAAGTCACAGTATGATTAGGAGGGTTTTTACCTTTCCAAACCATCCGTTTCCGATCTCCTGTATGTAGTTGAGACTGTGGCGGGCTATTTGAGACTTCAAGCCTTCTGTAGAGAAAAGAACATGATGAAAAATCAAGTATTTGTGGCTACAACGCGTAACCTGTAAAACACAAACACTACTTAAGGTAGAAATAAACACATAAACCACTGTCTTCCACAGCGAGTTTGCAGTTTTGAAACTGGTGACATTCTGCTCGAGTACTCTACTCTGATTCTTCAGATTCGTGTCCCGCTTTCCGGTCTAAGCCGGTTACTCCAGGGTGGGCACACCAGCGAGTGGGCCAACGTCTACACAACGGAATTTCCAGAAGAGACAGAAAGAGGCAGAAAAAAACACCAGGAGACGTGACAGTAGGAATGTCCCCAGACCTGCTGAAGGACATACATCTACACGTACAGAAGGCTCGGCAAACTCAAGTAAGAGACCCCTGAAAGTGGTCAGAGCGGGGCTCACCACGAGGGACAGCTCCTCACAAACCTCAAGACGCCAGAGCAGAAGGGCTGACGCACCTGCTGGGTGCCGAAAGGAAACACCTGAGAACCAAGACGCTCCATGAGGCACGACTGAAGGTGGCATCAGACACCATCAGGGAAACCAAGGCTTGGGGCTGCTGCCGGCGGGTCTGCCCCGCAGTAAACATTAGAGGGGACCTTTCAGCAGAAGTCAAAGGAACAGAATCCCATACGGACACCAGTCCATGTCCTAGACGCTCCACTTCTGATCCAGCTCCCTGCTGCCATCCTGGGAAAGCAGCGGAAGATGGCCCAAGTGCTTGGGCCCCTGCACCCACGTGGGAGACCTGGATGGAGTTCCTGGCTTTGGCCTGGTTCAGCCCTGGCTGTTGAGGCCATTTGGGGAGTGAACCAACAGGTGGAAGAACTCTTTCTCTGTAACGCCGCCTTTCAAATAAATGAATAAATCTTTAAAAATAAAACATGATCACTCAAACACAGGATGAGCAAAGATGCAGCTTGTGAAAATAACATAGAAGGAAAGGACGGAGCTATACAGGAACAGACTTGGTAGGCCTCCAGGGCCAAGTGGCTGTCACTTCAAGATCAACCGTCACACAGGCAGGAGGCTAACTGCATCTTCATCCTAATCGCCAAGAAAATGTCTAAACAATACACTGAAAAGGGAATAAGAAGGGAATCAAAATGGCACACCCCCTCCCAAAAAATCCCTATTAAAACCTCAATGGCCCATTTTGCAGAAATGAAAAACAGATCTGAAAATTCATACAGAATCGCAAGGGATCTCGAGCAGCCGGAAGCCTTGAGAAGAAAAACAAAGTTAGATTTCAAAGCTTCTGAATTTCAAAACTTATTATAAAACTAAAGCTACAATAACTGAGATAGTATGTATGATACTGGCCTAAAGATAGGCAAATAAATCAGCAGAATGCAACTGAGTCCACAAATAAACCCCACAAACATGAAGTGACTTTCTTTTTTTTTTTTTTTTTTTTGGACATGCAGAGTGGACAGTGAGAGAGAGAGACAGAGAGAAAGGTCTTCCTTTTTGCCATTGGTTCACCCTCCAATGGCCGCGGTACACGGCGCTGATCTGAAGCCAGGAGCCAGGTGCTTCCTCCTGGTCTCCCATGTGGGTGCAGGGCCATCCTCCACTGCACTCCCTGGGCCACAGCAGAGAGCTGGCCTGGAAGAGGGGCAATCGGGACAGAATCCGGCACCCCGACCGGGACTAGAACCCGGTGTGCCGGCGCCGCAAGGCAGAGGATTAGCCTAGTGAGCCGCGGCGCCGGCTCAAGAAGTGACTTTCTCAAGAGGCGAGAGACAAGTCAGTGGGGAAGTGCAGCACCTTTCCCACTCTGCTGCCAGACTCGCAGGTGTTCACACGATAAAGAATCGAGTCTCACTCCTACCTTCCCTATGAAACAGTAACTCAAAGGGGGTCAAAAAGCTAAGCTGAGGCTGAATCATACAACTCACAAGGGTGAATCTGCATGATCCAGGTTTAGGAGGAGTTTTTCAAACAGGACACCATAGATAAACTGGACATCATCAATATTTAAAACTTTTGAACCAAAGGACACTACTATATCAAGGGAGTAGAGAGAGAACCCCCAGAACCGGGAGCAAACATTTGCAAACCTTATTATGAAGCAATTATAGTTCAGACCACAGTAATGAGACAGACAGACAGACAAATTAACTAAGGACAAGAGCGCAGACAGGAGGGGGCTCGGCAAGGCAGTCAAGGTGCTTCCTGGGATGCCTGCAACGCAGACAGGGGGCCTGTGTCCGAGTCCAGCTTCCTGCTAATGCACACCCTGGGAAGAGCCCGTGAGGGCCCAAGTACCGAGGTCCCTGCCACCCACACAGGAGGCCTGGACTGAGTGTCCAGCTCCTGGCTTCGGTCTGGCCCAGCCCCGGATATTACAGGCACTCAGGGAGTGAACGAGTAGACCGAAGAGCTCTGTCTGTGCTGTGTCTGTCTCTCTCTCTCTCTCTCGGTCTTTCAAATAAAGAAAATTTTTACATTTTTAAAGACACACTTGTTTAAAATAAAAACCAGACAGACGGACTAGAAAGCCTAGAATGGATCCACCCATACAAACGCGTAAGAGAAAGGAAGGACGAAGAATGAATGAATCGAGAAGTACAGCCATCACACCAGCAGCAACCTGGACCCCACACCACCACACTCAGAAATCAACTCAAGACAGGTGATGGGGTTAATGTCAAAGCAAAACCCTAAAACTTTTTTTAAAAAATAAGCTATTTTGGCCAGCGCCACGGCTCAATAGGCTAATCCTCCGCCTTGCAGCGCCGGCACACCAGGTTCTAGCCCCGGTCTGGGTGCCAGATTCTGTCCTAGTTGCCCCTCTTCCAGGCCAGCTCTCTGCTGTGGCCCGGGAGTGCAGTGGAGGATGGCCCAAGTACTTGGGCCCTGCACCCCATGGGAGACCAGGAGAAGCACCTGGCTCCTGCCATCGGATCAGCGCGGTGTGCCAGCAGCAGCGCACCAGCTGCAGCGGCCATTGGAGGGCAAAGGAAGACCTTTCTTTCTCTCTCTCGCGCTGTCCACTCTGCCTGTCCAAAAACAAAAACAAAAACAAAAAAAAACAAAAAAAAACAACTATTTTTATTACAGAATAGGAAGGATTTGTTAAGACACAAATATAGAACTCTAAAAAAACTGTCAAATTTTTACTTGTTAAAAAAAAATAAAGGCACCAGTGCTGTGGCATAGTGGTTGTTAAAGCCCTGGCCTGCAATGCTGGGTGCCATATGGGAGCCAGTTTGAGTCTCAACTGCTCCAGTTCTGATCCAGCTCTCTGCTATGGTCTGGAAAAGCAGTAGAAGATGGCCCAAGTGCTTGGGCCCCTGCACCCGTGTGGGAGACCTGGAAGAAGCCCCTGGCAAATGAGCTCAGCTCTGGCCATTGTAGCCATGTGGGGAGTGAACTAGCAGATGGAAGACCTCTCTCTCTGGGGCCGGTGCTGTGGTATAGTGGGTAAAGCCGCCACCTGCAGTGCCAGCATCCCATATGGGCGCCAATTCAAGTCCCAGCTGCTCCACTTCCGATGCAGCTCTCTGCTGTGGCCTGGGAAAGCAGTGGAAGATGGCCCAAGTCCTTGGGCCCCAGCACCTACATGGGAGATCTGGAAGAAGCTCCTGGTTCCTGGCTCCGGATTGGCTCAGCTCCAGCCACTGCAGCTAATTGGGGAGTGAACCAGAAGATGGAAGACCTCTCTCTCTCTCTCTCTCTCTCTCCCTCTCCCTCTCCCTCTCCCTCTCTCTGCCTCTCCTTCTTTCTCTGTGTAACTCTTTCAAATAAATAAATAAATCTTAAAAAGAAAAAAAGACCTTTAACTTTTTCAAATAAATAAATCTTTAAAATTTTTTAAATAAACAAAAGGACTGTTAGATAAGTTATATTAAAAATCAGGAACCCCGTTCACCAAAATATCTTTTGTGTGTTGTGACTGATTTGCATTTAGTGTACCACTTTAATTCATTTCCTTTTCCATAAATTTTTAGTAGTTACCATGGATATTATAGATAATATCCAAAATTTGTCACAATCTAGTTTGAACCTGATACCAACTTAGTTTCAATAGTATAGTATTTGGCACCCAACTGGCAAGCATATAAACTGGTGCAACCCCCGGATGTACTGCTCGTTGGTATGTTGGCAGTTATCTATTAAAGTCATAAACAAATGTACTCTTGACTCCCTTAAAATTTATTCTCCAAGGGGCAGGTTTTTGGCCTGGCAGTAAAAATGCTGCTTAGGATGCCTGGTCCCCTATCAGAGTACCTGGGTTCAATGCCTGGCTCCAGCTCCTGATTCCAGCTTCCTGCTAATGCAGACCCTGGGAGGCAATGGTGTTAGCTCAGATAACTGGGTTCTTGCCACCCACGTGGGAAACATGGCTTTGGCCCCAGCCCTTGTAGGCATCTGGGGAGTGAACCAGCAGATCGGAGCACACTTGCTCACTCTTTCTCTCTCTCAAATAAACATGTTCTTTGTTTTTAAAAAATATTTATTTATTTATTTGAAAGAGAGAAGAGAGGTAGAGAGAGAGAGAGAGGTCTTACATCTGATGGTTTACACCCCAAATGGCCACAACAGCTGAAACTGTGCTGATCCGAAACCAGGAGCCAGGAGCTTCTTCTGAGTCTCCCACGCGGGTGCAGGGGCCCAAGGACTTGAGCCATCTTCTACTGCTTTCCCAGGCCACAGCAGAGAGCTGGATCGGAAGTGGAGCAGCTGGGTCTCGAAACAGTGCCCATATGTGATGCCTGCGCTCCAGGATGTTAACCCGCTGTGCCACAGCGCCAGCCCCAGCTAACAACACACCAGCGTAACAGTGTGCAAGACAACAGCAAAGATTAAAAACAACCAATGTCCATCAACAGGAGGCTGGTTAAGTAAGCTGCGTGATGTCCACACACTTGCAACAGCATGAATGAACCAGCAAGAATAATCAGCCCACTCTGTCGACAAGGTAGGCTGACTACGCTATATGGGAGTGAGAAAAGCAAGACGCGGGATAACGTATATTATGTTACTTTGTCATCTTCGAGTAAAAACGTGGGGCTTTGTGCCTGTGCGGGGGCAAAGGGTATCCTGGATGCCTCTCAACCATTCCCTCGATGCCGCAGTGAACCTAAGACCACTCTACAAAACTAGTCCTTTTAAAACTAAAAATAAATTTTCAGACAAAGAGGATGGGTCTCTGCATCAAGCGTGTCTGGCAACACGTACAAGAAACCAAGAGGAGTGCTTCTCACCTCAGACAGCGAAGGCTGCAAAGAGGCATCCGGTTCAAACACTGGAGGGAGATGCTCACACGAGACACCTTTTCCCACTTTGGTTTCTTATGTGAACATGTTATTTTACAAAAATGAAATGACAGGCATTTAAAGAGAGAGAAAAGGAAAAACTGGTGGAGTCCCAGACTCCCTGGTAAATACGTGCTGCCTTCCTCACGTAATACACGACACCTCCACTTCAACTACAGCTCACCTCTGCCTTTCTTGGAACACGTCCTACTCCACCGCACTGCTTCCATTCCACACTGCCAAACAGTGCGGAGATAAATCCCTTTGCATGCATGCATCTGCGTCTGTACACTCACTCAAAGACTTTTTTTTTTTTTAATTTATTTGAAAGAGTTACACAGAGAGGAGAGGCAGAGAGAAGAGAGCGAGGACTTCCATGCGCTGGTTCACTCCCCAATTGGCTGCAACAGCCGGAGCTGTACCAATCCGAAGCCAGGAGCCAGGAGCTTCTTCTGGATCTCCCACGAGGGTGCAGGGACCCAAGCACCTGGGCCATCTTCTACTGCCTTCCCAAGCCATAGCAGAGAGCTGGATTGGAAGTGGAGCAGCCAGGACTCAAGCCAGAGCCCACATGGGATGCTGGCACTGCAGGTGGTGGCTTTACCTGCTATGCCATGGCATTGGCCCCTCAATGACTCTCTAAAGGCAAATGACTCCATGGGGAGCTGCCCAGTCATGTGTTATGTGCTGGCACCCACCCATGCTCAGATGGCACTGCAGGAGGACCACGCCCACTCACAGTGAGAGCAAGCAGGGCCTACCCCTGCTCTTCACACTCACTGGTCATGAGTCACCACCTGGGGGCCACTTCCTTTCATTTCTGTCTGTTAACATTTTAAGTGTGTATTTCTTTAGTTAATAATGAGGTTCTTATCTCTATTGGCCATCTGAATTTCTTCCCTTGAGTTTCTTCTTTCATGTCCTCAGCTTGCTTGTTTGCTTGTTTTTAATTTATCTGAAAGTCAGAGTTAGACAGATTGAGGGAGAGGGAGAGGAAAAGGAAGAGAGAGAGAGGGAGAGACCTTCCATCTACTCGTTCACTCCCCAGGTGGCTCCAACGGCCAAGGGCTGAGCCAGGCCAGTCATGAACTCTATCCAGGTCTCCAAACATTTAGGCCATCACCAGAGGCTTTCCCAGGCACATCAGCAGGGAGTTGGATCAAAAATGGAGCAGCCAGGACTTAATCCGGCACTCCCCATGGGATGCTGGCAACAGAGGCGATGGCCTAACCCACTGCACAACAATGGCGGCCCCTGTTTGTTTGTGATCTTAATATTTAACAGCTTTTAGTCTTTTTTGTAGTTTACAAATATCTTTGCTACTAAACCTAATCTGTGTATGGTGATTGCTTCATTTTATGAGTAAGATTTGGCAATTTCCTATTATTCCTTCTATATCTGGTGCCACGCTTGGAAGGGACTCCTGTCGGCAGACGATCGAAATGAACCCTGGGAGCATTCTACGCAGAGCAACCTGAGGGATTCCGCCCCATCAGGAGGACACAATCAGGACGCTGCCCAGGCCGCCCTGTCTGTCTGTGCCCCTGCCACCCCGCTGTATCTGCAGTCTCTCATCTGCCCCGGCACTCTGCCCGCAGTGAGGGCCGCGCGTCGTGCGAGAGGTGGGCGGTGCGTCCCCAACGCCTCTCCAGGGTGTCTCTGCGCTGAGGAGACAGCAACCTCTTTCCTCTCTGGTCATCAGTCTGCGTGGACACGGACGTGGACACGGACCTGGCACTGCCCGCAGCCGTGTCCTCTGCAGAGGAGCAATGCTGTCTGAAAGAGGAAGGCGTGAAAAACGCTGATGGGCTCCAGGCCTGGCTCCGGCCATCGCCAAGCTCAGCTTCTCCCCGACTGCCCGCGGTCTGGGAACTCCCCTGTTCTGCCAAGACGGCCCAGAGCCAGGATTCCACCATCGGAAATGAACTCATGCAGCCGGCAGGTCTCTCGGGGCTTTCCTTAAGTACACGGCGAAGCCAGTTACAAAAGGAGAAACGAGAAAGCATTTCCATTTAGAAATAAGCTGCTCCGCGGATACATCAGAATCCTTCCAAGCCTCAGTGTTTCGGTCTGAAGTAAAAGCATCGTTATTTACAGAAATTAAAGCTAAACACGCACGTCATGTTTTTACACACTGCGAAGTCTACAAATAGTAAACACGCACGACTTTACACGTCTTTCCTATAGAACGCACCAGGCGTGTCTCATGTTTCGTCTCACCCTTTCCTTTATTCAGGCACAACAAACCCTGGGGTTTACCCTGCCCTAAACACCCACGCAGCGTGGAGTTCCAGCAGAGACAGGCTTAGCGCCTACAAAGACTCAGACAGCCTTATTTCAGCAGGCTTGCCAAACCCACTTCTTGATCTACTAGTCATACTCGATCTTGTAACAAGAAATCAATTCACCTCTAACCAAACCTCTCTTGTGAGCAGCTTGTGACAAGCCAACCTGAAGAACACACCCAAACACGCGCAGGGCGCCAGCAGACGGGCCCCCGCTTCTCAGGACGCCAGCAGACGGGCCCCCGCTTCTCCCAGCCTCGCGGCTCGCTCAGAGAGCGCGCAGGAGAACACGGCGTCAGGACGCCAGGCCTTACCTACAGACGGCTGGAACTGCGACGGAGCAGGCAGGGAGATGTTTGGCACCGAGACAGTGAAGACCTCTGCTGGGGACTGGACGGAGGGGGTGTCTTCCGCTGGTGGTGTGAAATCTATCTCATCATCAAAGTTATCCTCGAACTCCTAAAATCAACAGAGCAAGCATTAACACCCACTGGCTGACACGTAGCGCGGGAACAGTCATTCACAAGTTTGGAATATGCTGCCGTTACTACCTCCACCCACCCCAACTGCCATGTTATCTATTTGAAGCAAAAAAAAATTAGGTGTTTCCCAGCTCCAAGTAGCAGAATCCAATGTGATAACAGATTATACAGATTTTACATAAATTTTTAAACAGATAGCTTGAAGTCAAATGTAAAATTTTCCAGAAATGACCATGAACTGGGCTCAAAAGTTTAAATTTATAAGGGTAAGCAGTTCCTTTACAAGCATTTTTCACTTTCACAAATGTCTCTGCACACTGAATCCAAAACAAGCCCACTCTGTCAACTGCATATGCATTCATATTGCAATGTGACTTCTATCAAAATAAAGACAGCTAAAATATTTAAGTAAAGTCCTATTTCTCTAGAAAAGGAAACAATGGGAAAACTACTAAACTGGGTAGGAAAATCGTCAGAATCCGAACCACAAAGGTCAGCAAAGATGTGTAGCAAGGAGCGCAGTTAACTCCCAAGAAGGGCTGGCTTTCTCGCGGTGACAACCCTAAAACCAAGGAGGCTCCGGAAGGCTGTGGAGCTGGGGGAGCCTGGACCTCCGTGTCTGTACAGTCAGCACGGAGTCAGTCATCCACGCACGCACTCAGATCCAGCAGCAGCCCCTCCTGCACAGCTACCGCAGCGGAGAGCAGCTCAGTGGCCCGCCCATTCCCACTTCTCTATGAACTTTCTTCTCTTCACTCCCCGTGCGACCACCTCCCCTTCATCCCCACCCAGCCCGAGCAGGGAACTAAGTCACAACGGCAGCTCTCTAACACGCAGGTCTGCACATGCACTACACATGCCTCATTAGGACATCACTGCTATGTGCCGTGAGGGCAGGGAGCGGGACCCACGTGGGGCTGGGAGGGACTTCTCAACAGAGCATGGCTGCGTTCTCTCTCTGGATACTCCTGAGCTTCTCATTAAAACGACTTCGCCCTTGCAAACAACGGCGCTCAAAACCCCGGCAGAGCGTGATGCACCTGCGGATGATTCTAGAGAATCAGAGAGGCCACATGGAACAGTCACTAAAAAATGAGTAAGACAGGGTCACTTTCACAGCTGCGCCAGTGGCTGCTGCTTCCTTTCTGGATCCCCGAGTGCCTTCCACAGGCAGGTGTGCCGCCCTAGGACTGCACAGGACTCCCAGCTGCACAGACTCCAGGGGGCGCCTCCGCACCACCCTGGCGGCTGAATCTGCATCACAATGCACCCCCTCCCTCCTTCAGCACTGGGACCCAGAGGTAAGCCATCAGGTAAACCGAGAGTCAGGCTGCAATCCAGTATCAGCAACGCTCATCAGACTTTATCTTTGTCCCCAGATGGCCAGTTTCTGGGCAAAGTCCCTCAGGCAGACAGACGCGGGGCCCCCAGTGGTGTCCTCTTCACTGGCTCTCACGGAAGTGCCTGCAGTGATGGGGCCTGCTCTGCCCTCATGTGTGTGACATCCCTGCTCCTGGACTGCCCAGGGCTGCCACTGGACTCCAGGCAGAACCGCCCGAGGCTCTGGGAATCAGGTCCGGTGAGAAGGTTTTAGCTGCGAGACAGGCCTCTCAGTTCCCCTGTGTGTTCTGCTGCTGCAGGCCCCTGGGTGGGATTCTCGGCCGGCTGATGCAGATGCCGTCCGTGTGCTGCAAGGACGGACCCTTCCCCAGGCTGGGGATTTACAACCACAAACACGACACACACCGGGGATCCCTCTGCCTGAATCTCAACCATCAGAAGCTCACCCACCTACAAAAGGCTGAAGAGCAAAACCAAAATACCCTGCTCTCTCGACCACGCGATGTTCGCGGTTGTGGGTCATGGTGCTCCTCGGCACGGCTGGCAGCTGCACCAGGAGGACCAAACCCAAGCTGCCCGTTTTTTTTTGTTTTTTTTTTTTTTTTTTTTGATAGGCAGAGTGGACAGTGAGAGAGAGACAGAGAGAAAAGTCTTCCTTTTGCTCGTTAGTTCACTCTTCAATGGGCCGCTCGCGGGCCGGCGCGCTGCGGCCGGCGCACCGCGCTGATCCGATGGCAGGAGCCAGGAGCCAGGTGCTTTTCCTGGTCTCCCATGGGGTGCAGGGCCCAAGCACCTGGGCCATCCTCCACTGCACTCCCTGGCCACAGCAGAGGGCTGGCCTGGAAGAGGGGCAACCGGGACAGAATCCGGCGCCCCGACCGGGACTAGAACCCGGTGTGCCGGCGCCGCAAGGCGGAGGATTAGCCTAGTGAGCCGCGGCGCCGGCCTGCTGCCCGGTTTTTAAGTCAAGTGTTACGGGCACAAGCCCAGGACCGTTTGTTCACAGCACTGAACGCCGATGCGGCGCTCAACGGCAGGCTTGGAAGCTCAGTGGCTGTGCCAGAGACCACAGGGGCCACAGTATTCACTACTTCCGGCTACCTGGGCCCACGGCAAAGTCTGCCCCGGCCCCCACCCCCACCCGGGAGGGGGGCGGGGAAGGGGCTAGGAGACACAGCACAGAGAGAGTCCCAGCGCCCCCACCAGCCGCGCTCACCTTGAAGTCTATTTCTGGGTCCTTGCAGCAGGATATGCAGTTTGCAATTAACACTATCAGGATCATCAAACTGCACAGAGACAGGATCACAAAAGACGAGGGGACTTCCACAGCAGGGGCCTCCCCTGGGAAGAGAAAGAAATAATGTTAAACACACACCCATCCCCAAGTCAACTTCAGTGAACCAATACCTCCTTCCTCTCCCCACCAGTCAGTGGGAGCAGGATGAGCCCAGGATAACACTGACGACCAGCCCAGGGTGGGCAGGTGGTGCTAAGTGTCGTTATTTTGAAATTCTCTTAGACATAAGAACTCTCAGCTCCTGTATACTCTCACCCAGCCACTACTGCTACCATCTCACCTCACCATGGCATAGACTCAAAACCTTAGCAGGAACATCGGCAGAACGCTGTTTTAAATTTTTATTTATTTTATTTGAGAGGAAAGGAGACACACACACAGGTATTTCCCACCTACTGTTTCACTCCCTAGATGTGCAGTTGGAGCTAGGCCAAGAACTCAATCCAAGTCTCCCACAGGGTGGTGGGGACCCAACACTTGAGTCGTCACCTGCTGCCTCTCAGGGTGGACATCAGCAAGAAGCTGGGCTTAGGGGCCAGCACCATGGCACAATAAGTTAATCCTCTGCCTAGGGCATCGGCATCCCATGTGGGTGCCGGTTCTAGTCCGGCTGCTCCTCTTCCAATCCGGCTCTCTGCTGTGGCCTGGGAAAGCAGTAGAGGATGGCCCAAGTGCTTGGGCCCCTGCACCTGCATGGGAGACCCAGAAGCTTCCTGGCTCCTGGCTTCAGATCGGCGCAGCTCCAGCCACTGCAGCCATTTTGTAAGTGAACCAACGGGAGGAAGACCCTTCTGTCTCTTCCTCTCGCTGTAACTCTACCTCTCAAATAAATAAATAAAACCTTTAAAAAAGAAAGGAAAAGGCCGGCGCCGCGGCTCACTAGGCTAATCCTCCGCCTAGCGGCGCCGGCACACCGGGTTCTAGTCCCGGTTGGGGCGCCGGATTCTGTCCCGGTTGCCCCTCTTCCAGGCCAGCCCTCTGCTGTGGCCAGGGAGTGCAGTGGAGGATGGCCCAGGTGCTTGGGCTCTGCACCCCATGGGAGACCAGGAAAAGCACCTGGCTCCTGGCTCCTGCCATCGGATCAGCGCGGTGCGCCGGCCGCATGGCCATTGGAGGGTGAACCAACGGCAAAGGAAGACCTTTCTCTCTGTCTCTCTCTCTCACTGTCCACTCTGCCTGTCCAAAAAAAAAAAAAAAAGGAAAAAAAGAAGCTGGACTTGACAGCAGAGCCAGGGCTCACCCCCAGGCACTACAGTATGGGATGCGGGCGTCCCAAGTGGCATCCTAACCAACACACCAATGCCCGCCTCTGATACACCGCCATTCATGCAACTGCAGGTTTACTGCGGCTCTTCTCATCTTCACCAGCAAGTCCAAGAGTCGACCCAGGCTGCTAAGGCTGCATTTAATCAGCACACGCCCTCATCTCCTCCAGCCTCTGACAGACTGTCTCAGGCTCTCCTGTGTTTTCAACTCTGGCACTTACAAAGAGTACCGGGCCGCTGTCTGTCAGGCGCTCCTCACTCTGGGTTCCACTGAGCTTACACATACGGGGAAGAAGCTAGAACTCCACAGGGTGAAGAGCCCCTCTCCTTGCAGCCCAGCAAGGGCACGGGGCCATCCCGGGGCAGGCGAGCTCTCATCATACGCCTGACCTCCACACTTTTCCCTGCAAAGGCTCTGTGCCTTGAGCGCAACTCACTAAGTCCAGCACGCACCCAGGGAGGGAGTTAGGACCATTCAGAGCTCACAGGAATATGTAGAAGACACTAGTGATTAATAAATACTCAGGGTGATGCAAATACCTCGATTCCCCTTAAAGTTTTGCAAACAAATTTCCACATCTGTCAGTGCAGCATGCCCACTGCAGTGCACACCATCTTTCAGTGGTGACTTTCCACACGTGCGCCTCCTTCTACATTTGTTTAGAACGCTACAGGGAGCATTCTCCTTTCCCCCTCCCAGTCACTCCTATCAGCTATGGCTGCATGGATATTCACTCTGGGTTAGAATCCAGGCAATCTAGCTCCTGCCATCGGATCAGCGCAGTGCGCCGGCCACAGCGTGCCGGCCGCGGCAGCCATTGGAGGGTGAACCAAAGGCAAAAGGAAGACCTTTCTGTCTGTCTCTCTCACTGTCCACTCTGCCTGTCAAAAAAATAAAAAATAAATTAAAAATTTTTAAAAAAAGATTTATTTATTTGAAACACAGAGTTAAAGAGAGAAGGAGAAGGAAAGAGATCTCCCACTTTCTGGTTGACTCCCCAAATGGCCACAGTAGCTGAGGCTGGGCCAAGCTAAAGCCTGGAGCTTCTTCTGGCTCTCCCATATGGGTGCAGAGGCTCAAGAATTTGGGCCATCTTCCACTGCTTTCCCACTCACATTAGCAGGGAGCTGGATCAAAAACGGAGCATCCGGGACTCAAACCTTCACCCATATGGGATGCCGGCCCTGTGGGAGGCAGCTTAACCCACTGTGCCACAGAGCCGGCCCCAGATTTTCATGTATTTAAAAGGCTGTTTTTAAAAAGACAAAAAAATAGAGAGCGAGTGAGCGAGCAGATGTTGAATGTGAGTCCCCAAACCTGAAACATTTTTCTACCTCACCAAGTGAGGCCAGCGGCTCTCAGGGGTATTTAATCCCAGTTACTGTGCCCCACCCCCAACTTGCGTGAAAACCACCTGTGCTCCCCCTGCCCGAACACGCAGTGACAGCAGAGCACTCTCACACACTCGGCTGTGCTGACTCTACCACAGTGTGTCCACTGCATTTTCACTCCCCTGAACTCCAGGTGCGCCCCACATCTGAGACCCAGTTAGCTTAACTGGCAGCATTCCTTCCCAATGGAGAGGGGATAAGGGCCCACCTGCGGCCAGTCTTATCTGAGATTTCATGAATAACTATCATTCCAGTTGCTCCTCATGAGCTGAGCTAACAGGACCAGCTCCACATCACCGATGCAGAAACGGAAGCGCCCCTGGCGTGAACGTCACAGGGCCAGCTCCAGCCCAGTGCTCTGAGCACAAGCTCAACTCCCCTCTGGGTCCCCCCACTGCTGCCTCAACATCGCTAACTCTCAACACTGACCAAGGCCTCCCTCTGGGAGAGGCGGCTCAGACCTCCGGGGCTCTCCCCCAGACCCACAGAGCTGGGATCAAGCGGCTTCCTCCTCTCGCCTCACCCTTAGCTTTCAGCCTCTGACACTGCTCATCGACTGCAAAACTGGACCAGGATGGCCTGGAGTCAGCCCAGCAATCGATTCACAACCCGGGCAGGTCTTCAGTGAGTCACCAGGCAGGCGTGGAAGTCCACCCCACGCTGGGAACAAGGAGATACCCACACTCAGCCTGCCCCAGGCACCGTGTGGACTCCTGCTGTGAGCGCTGAGGCCACCAGCTCCCGGGCCTCTGCGTCTGACCGGCCCGCACAGACGCCCCCACAGATCACTACCCGCGCGATCTGGGGCAGCCACGAGTACACAACCCAGTGCACTGGGCACCCGAAGACGCTTTACACCAAGGAGGCAAACACTGCGTAGAAGGAGGAAGGCAGATCTCGGCTGGGAGGTGGGGCGGGGCTAGCACAGACCACAGAGAGGAAGCAGAGTCTGGAGGCCAGAAACCACATCTAAAACCCCCGGGGCTCAGGGCCCTCCACAACCTGCGCGGAGGAGGGGCAGCTTCCCTCCAGCATCCTCGGCCCAGTGGTCTCGAGCACCCACCGGAGGAAGACACCAGGAGTGTAGGCAGCGTCACCGATTACAAGCCTACGAGGATAATGAGAAGCCGGGGCCACTCGGCAGGCTGCCCAAGATACTGATTAAAAAATACCTGGCATCTCTACAGCACACTCACTGAGTGCTCATTTAACAGATTCAAAGCATTTTAATAGCTATCTAGCACTTGATTTAATAAGCAGAAGAGTTGAGAAACTCCAAGAGGTAGGTACGTATTATCTGTCTCAGAGACAGGTAATTTGGGGCCGGCAGATTCTCGGTGATGACTCAGAGCGAGGCGGGAGCACCAGCTATTAATCCAACCACCAGAAACGCAGCCCAGGGACCTGACCCCCACCCGGCACTCCGACACCTCTGTAATATCAGCAGAGGTGCTGCCTGTGTTTCCATCTGGGGGCTACACTGAAGTTTCTCGAAGGTCCACAGGTAAAGAGACGGGATTACAACACGCTAACGTTTCGTGTAGTCATCCCTGCTTCAGCGAGTCCCGGCTGCACTGTCATAAAGAGGAATTCCCTCACATCGACCGCTCGGTTTATCCGGCGGTGCAAGCCCAGGGCAGGGCAGGCTGGCTGCATGTTTAAACTGTTTGTTACGGATGTTTTGAAATGAGCACTCTCTGGCCGCTGGCAGCCAGGAGTGCTGCTGTTGGCGTCTGTGGGATCACCCTGAACTCCGGCATGCGCTGCCAGCTGTGTCTCGGTGTGTTCGCGTCATTCCGACTGTGCTCATGCTGTCCTGCGTGTGGCCAGCAGGACTCTGAAGAGGCTGCCCTCGGGCCCCCGTTTCCCAGGGTGCCCCTCAGCAGACCACCACAGGCTCTTCTTCCTACCTCCCCCACCAGTCTCTTCCCTGGGAGCCCCGGTTTCTTTTCACAGGAGCCGATTACCAAAGGCCCCAGCCTCGGGCAGGAGGGCTGCTTATTCACTTGAGAAAACAAGCGGCCGTTTTGCAACACTGAACTTTGGTCTCTGTGGTCTGAGCAGTCGTCCTCCTGGGGACGGCCTCCGCTAGGGATGGGGAAACCACAGCTTGTGGGTAAGGCCCTGCCCACAGTCAGTGCAAGTTAACAATAGCTAAGCACTGATATATATTTTTTTATTTGACAGGTAGAGTTATAGACAGTGAGAGAGACTGAGAGAAAGTGAACCCTGAGAAAGTGAACCAACAGAAAGTGAACCGTTGGTTCATTCCCCAAATGGCCGGCACGGCCGGTACGCTGCACCAATCCGAAGCCAGGAGCCAGGTGCTTCCTCCTGGTCTCCCATGCGGGTGCAGGAGCCCAAGCACTTGGGCCATCCTCCACTGC